GCCTCTCATACACTCTATAGAGTCTAAAGTAATTGTACATTGTGTATAAGGGAGAGGCTGACCACTCGCTGCAGTAATTGTGCGTGGAGTATAAGGGAGAGGCTGACCACTCGCTGCAGTAATTGTGCGTGGAGTATAAGGGAGAGGCTGACCACTCGCTGCAGTAATTGTGCGTGGAGTATAAGGGAGAGGCTGACCACTCGCTGCAGTAATTGTGCGTGGAGTATAAGGGAGAGGTTGACCACTCGCTGCAGTAATTGTGCGTGGAGTATAAGGGAGAGGCTGACCACTCGCTGCAGTAATTGTGCGTGGAGTATAAGGGAAAGGCTGACCACTCGCTGATTGGTCAGAATCTGAGAGTGATATTACTAGTGACAACCTACACATCTCTGCCTGGTAATTCAATGCCACGACGTTTCGCCCATGGTAGGACTTCAAGTATAAATAAATTCACAAAAACACCATCTTACACACGTGAGTCCAGGGTCGGGTGGTTGAGAGGTCAGCGGAGAGGTCATCTGCAACCTCTACCCGGGCGCTGAAGGTCGTGCTACCGACACGAATAAAAACAGACTCACGAAGCAGGACACGTCTTGACGGGGGCAACGTTTCGCTCTTAGAATAGCTATCTCAGGCCATAGTGTGGAACGTCGTCCCTTAATGGATTGCTCTACTACGTGTGACTCTAATCAATTAATCTTTCTCATACCTTGTTGAAGACGGCTCACGACTCTCTCGACCTGAGCCCAACTTCAGGGAAACGCTTGAGGAAGTCAGATATGCAATAGTTTGACATCTTTATTTACAAGGCCTGCTCGCCAGCCTTCTTCAGTATGATAATGGTATACGATAACGACAAGTTAACAACCCACATGTGCAGCAGTTAGGTAACGTTATTCTGAAAAGTTTTGCATACTAGTACAGAGGAGGCAGCAGAAATACCAGTCAGGTAGAGACATTAGAAACAGTGGAGATGCAGGTACGTGGTGATCAGTCCCTCAGCCTACAGAAACGAGTTAAGAGGTAGTCAGTCCCTCATCATGACTCACGAACTCGTAATGACACGATTGAAAACAAACCACGGTACGGGTGGGGTTTGAACTCGCAGCTAGAGTCTTAAAACTCTAGACCGACGCGTTAGCCACTGGACCAGCTGGCTACAGTAACATTCATTGTTTCATTTATTGTAGCCAGCTGGCCCAGTGGCTAACGCGTTGGTCTGGAGTTTTAAGACTCATCAGAAGCGAGTTCAATCCCCACCCGTACCGTGGTTAATCCCTCATCAACCTGTCGGAATTATATAAAGCAATATAATGAAGAAACTAGAAAACAAGAGGAGCACACTGAGAATAACTGCTGCTGTAGTTCCCTGTCCTGAGATATATATGACAAAACAGAGAACAGAAACACTACGTATAAAAAAAAAGTTGATGCTACTTCTGTTGCAATTGTCGCTGCTGCTGCTGGTGCTGCTGCTGTTGTTGCTGCTGGTGCTGCTGCTGGTGCTGCTGCTGTTGCTGCTGGTGCTGTGCTGTGTGCTGGTGCTGCTGCTGTTGTTGCTGCTGCTGCTGCTGCTGCTGCTGGTGCTGCTGCTGTTGCTGCTGCTGGTGCTGCTGCTGGTGCTGCTGCTGGTTGTTGCTGCTGCTGTTGTTGTTGCTGGTGCTGCTGCTGGTGTGCTGCTGGCTGGCTGGTGCTGCTGCTTGCTTGCTGCTGTGGTGGTGGTGGTGGTGGTGCTGCTGCTGCTGTGCTGTGCTGGTTGCTTGGTTGCTGCTGGTGCTGTTGCTGTGGTGCTGCTGCTGCTGCTGCTGCTGCTGCTGCTGCTGCTGCTGTGGTGCTGCTGCTGCTGCTGCTGCTGCTGCTGCTGGTGCTGTGCTGCTGCGCTGCTGCTGTGCTGCTGCTGCTGTTGCTGCTGCGCTGCTGCTGCTGCGCTGGTGCTGGTGCTGCTGCTGGGGGCTGCTGCTGCTGCTGCTGCTGCTGCTGCTGTTGCTGGTGGTGGTGGTGGTGCTGTCTGCTGTTGCTGCTGTTGTTGCTGCTGTTGTTGCTTGCCTGTGATGTTGTCTGCCCTTTACTACTACCTTATGCTGCGGGTCCACTTACTACTACTACTACTATTATGCTGCTGTCTGCCTGCTGCTTGTTTCGCTTTTGTTGCTCGTTGTTGCTGCTGCTGTTGTTGCTGCTGTTGTTGTCTGCTAGCTGCTACTACTACTTATTGGTGGGGTCCTATACTACTACTATTATGCTGCTGCTGTGTTATGGGCGTGGGCCGTTGGCAATTTTACACCCCCTTTTCCTCCTTCAGTTTCCGACATCCCATTTTGTCGATGCACCTTCATTTTCTCCTGTATCTTCCACTTTAAGCTTCGTCATCCCTTTAATTTTCTCTTCTTTCCATTTCTTTCTCTTCGGTCGAAGATTAACCCTCTCCAAATGGAACTGATATTCCCTTGTGGGTAGATTGTACCTTGGTCAGTCTTCCGGCTCTGTGCAGTAGGTGAGGGAAGGAGGGAAGGGAAGGAGGGAAGGGAAGGAGGGAAGTGAAGGAGGGAAGTGAAGGAGGGAAGTGAAGGAGGGAAGTGAAGGAGGGAAGTGAAGGAGGGAAGTGAAGGAGGGAAGTGAAGGAGGGAAGTGAAGGAGGGAAGTGAAGGAGGGAAGTGAAGGAGGGAAGTGAAGGAGGGAAAGGGTGAGAGATTAGATGAAGGAGAGAGTGAAAGGGAAGATAGGAGGAAAATAATAATAGATCATTCATCAATGAAAAATATATAATATAAACCAAGATAAAAAAAATGGTAAAAGTTACGAACATTAACGCAGAACACAAAAATAATCATAGTAAATTAAAAAAAAAAACATTTAAAAAACAAATAAATTATTAGCATTAAAAGATTCCCCTAAAACTTGCCCGAGGTCCCTACAGGCATCTCGGCAGTAATAAAAATTAAGACTGAAAGGTTAAAATCGTATGCAAACTGTTAAAATTTATTCCACAGCCAGTTGAATGCCACAAACTACTCAGAAGGAAGGAGCAAGAACATCTGTGAACAGGTGGTTACAGGTGAGATATGTATCCCAATCCAATCAACATCTATTCACCTCAAAGTGACAATTTCTATTGAAGAATTAGACACATGTGCAATATCTGTGCGTGTGTGTTTAGATGTTTCGTCATCCAGTGGTCTTTATCAACACAAATTCAATGATATAATGGGAATACTGGAGAGCTATATACAAAAGACGAAATAATCAGTCCCTGATCCTTGGAGTTGGTGATGAGCACCGTAGTCATGAAGACTCATCAACTCCAAGGCTGAGGGACTGATTACCTCATCTTCTGTATATGTAGTTCTACAGTCATTCTATGATGTCCTTCAGTTTGTATTGATAAAGCCACTAGATGCCGAAACGTCTACAAATAGAGATACTTATATGTTGCACATGTGTCTAATTCATCTTGTCGGTATTGTATACCTTTGTATACAATACCATACCCATAACTCGACTGCTAGCGCACTCAGCTCACACAATGAAGTCCGTAGTTCGATCCCTGGTACAGGTGGCAACATTAGGACGTGTTTTCTTAAAACACCTGATATCCCTGTTCACCTAGCAGTAAAATGGGTACCTGGGTGTTAGTCGACTGGTGTGGGTCGCATCCTGAGGACAAAATTTATCTAATTTTCCTGCTCTGCATAACAAGCGGCTTTCTATATCTATATCTGATATCAGATGTGGTCTATATACGTTGTACATGTACTTGTGAAAATAAAATTATTATTAATGTTATTCACGTACGAATTGTTAAGCACTTCAAATCTCTTTCGTTGTCAACTGCATGTGGCATGATTTGATGAAATAACTTTCAAAACGAGCTTGGTGCCCGGGGGTATGGTGCCCGGGGGTATGGGGAAACATTGTCTGGCTCCGGCTGGACGCCCATACTTATCTTGGGTCTAGCTCCGTGGTAAAGTACTGTGGACTCGGATACAGAGTTTGCAGGTTCGAGTCCTGCTGTGATCGTAGAGACAATGTTTGTAAATAATTTCGCCTGTTTGCGAATTGTTAAGTATGTACAATTTATACTGAAGGCGAGTCAAACACCCACATCCTGCCAAAGCTTGTGTAACTTGCCGCCAGGCCTAGAAGATCAAATATAGAAAAAGAGCGTAGAAAAAAAACCATACCACGGGCGGGATTGAACCCGCGGTCAGAGAGTCTCAAAACTCCAGACCGTCGCGTTAGCCACTGTACCAGCTAGCCACAATAAGATTCATCCAACTAGGTATATTTCTACACCATAGGAAGGTTAGCACAGGCACCTCTGTGACCACAAATGCAAGTTTTTACAGACGAATCTCCAGCTAGCGTGGCCGTGACGAACTCTAGCTCAAGTCCCTTCACTGCCGTCAACATGACTCACGATTGACCGCGGATTCAATCCCGCCCGTGGTATGGTTTGTTTGCAATCGTGTCATTACGATTTCGTGAGTCAAGAGCGTAGAATACTGTACAGAAGAAATGAGGCTGCTGAACTACTCAAAAAAGTGAACTGACAGAAGGAAGGAAAGATAATCTCAGCCGAGAGACTACAGAGATATAATAAAACCTTTATCTCACCAGACAGAAGAAGCGCCAAGGGGACAAAGAAGTCATCCAGGATGTTGCAAAAAGCCCCAAATATTTCTGTTTGCAAAATTCTAGTTAAGAACCAACTGTACAAATGGACTATTAATCGCAGCAGGTTCGCACACTGACCATGAAAAAGTAATGATTACTTAATCAATATTTAGCAGTTCACTAATGAAAGCAGGGTAGAGAATGAAATCTTTTTCATTACCTCTGAAGGCCACACACATACGTAAGTGATATGCCGTATTTTCCGGCATATAAGGCGCACGAGTGTCGGCTGCTTGCTGGCACGATGTTACCAAGCAGCTGTAACGTAACGTTAGTAAACAACTGCTAAAGTGTAACCCCAAGCCTACCCATGACCCTGACCTTACGCATATAAGGCGCAGGCTGATTTTCTAAGTCTTTTTTGAAGGAACAGAAGCGCGCCTTATATGACGGAAAATAGATTAAGTCTAATCCCATAAAATTCGAAACGAAAAAAATAGAAAACATGTCCATTTGTACAACACTTGGGCCGGATTAGCGAAATTCCTTATTTTTAAACAAGTACAGAATGCCACTAGCACGAGCACTCAGTACTGTGTCCTTTGGAGAAAAAACTTAGATCTAGGTTATATTCCAGAGAGCTTAAAAGGAACGCAGACGCAGCTCCTTCGAAAGGGTAATAAGACACCAAATTACAAAAATTTACGGAACAGCACAATATTCACCACCCAAATCAACAGAGATTTAGAGCAGGAATATCATGCTGGTCAACTCTTAAACCACTACTGCAAAATTACGGAGATTTGCTCAACATCTTACCAGAAGATATCAGAAACACTACTGAGTCTACTGTAAAAAATTTTAAGAGGAATTTGGACAAGTACCTTCGCAAAGTGTAGGATCAACTAAGCTGTAATGGATATGCGGGCCAGCGAGCCACCAGCAGTAATAGCCTGATAGACTAGGCAAGCACCAGACAAGGCTGGCCAAGGGCCAGGCTGCAGGAGAGAAAAACTCTTGAAAGCCATTAAAGGTAAAGGTATAACGGGTGGGTAGGGGAAAAGGGAAGCAGTAAATTCTTTCCCCACTCCATCTTTGTTGTTCCTCTCTTCCATCCTTCAGTACTAAACCTTCCTTCTTCCCTCCCTCCTCCTTACTCCTTCTCTACCCACCTCTTCTTTTCTCCCTTTCTGCTCTTCTCCTCCACCTATTCTCACTTCTCACTTTCATGTTCTCTACCTTCACTTACAACCCACATGAATACTCTCTCTCTCTCTCTCTCTCTCTCTCTCTCTCTCAGTCGTCCTGAGAAAGGAATACATCTGAAATGCTGAATTCTTCAGCTTCGATCTATATCGAAAAGTCTCTTGAATTTCTCCGTTCTTCCTTGTACTCCCTTGTGCCTCTTTTGTGCTATCTTGTACTCCCAGATATAACCTTGTAGTTTCATTGTACGCCCTTGTTCTCGTAATTACAATTGTACTCTCACGTACTCTCGTGTACCTCCTTTATAGTCTCTTGAACTCTCATGCACTCCCACATACTCCCTTCTTATTTTCATGTACTCCAATGCACTAGCTGTACTCCCTGTATTCCATAGTACTCATCCATGTATTCTATCCTGCTTTAGCGTATTCTTCCATTCTCATTTAATCACTGTATTCGCGTAATTCGTTGTACTACCTTGTCCTGCCATGTACACTCCTGTACTCAATTGTACTCAATGAAACTCCCATAACAACATACATCCTCACTATCCTTTCTAAGTTGCTACCTTTCCCTCTCATTCTATTTCAGGATGCCTCCTTCCCCGCTTTTCGGTGTTTCAGGATGCCTCCTTCCTCTCTCATTCTATTCCAGGATGCCTCCTTCCCTCTCATTCTATTCCAGGATGCCTCCTTCCCTTCTCATTCTATTCCAGGATGCCTCCTTCCCCTCTCTTTCTATTCCAGGATGCCTCCTTCCTCTCTCATTATATTCCAGGATGCCTCCTGCCCCTCTCTTTCTATTCCAGGATGCCTCCTTCGCTTCTCATTCTATTCCAGGATGCCTCCTTCCCTTCTCATTCTATTCCAGGATGCCTCCTTCCCCTCTCTTTCTATTCCAGGATGCCTCCTTCCTCTCTCATTCTATTCCAGGATGCCTCCTTCCCCTCTCTTTCTATTCCAGGATGCCTCCTTCCCTTCTCATTCTATTCCAAGATGCCTCCTTCCCTTCTCATTCTATTCCAGGATGCCTCCTTCCCTTCTCATTCTATTCCAGGATGCCTCCTTCCCCTCTCTTTCTATTCCAGGATGCCTCCTTCCTCTCTCATTCTATTCCAGGATGCCTCCTTCCTCTCTCATTCTATTCCAGGATGCCTCCTTCCCTTCTCATTCTATTCCAGGATGCCTCCTTCCCTTCTCATTCTATTCCAGGATGCCTCCTTCCCTTCTCATTCTATTCCAGGATGCCTCCTTCCCTTCTCATTCTATTCCAGGATGCCTCCTTCCTCTCTCATTCTATTCCAGGATGCCTCCTTCCCTTCTCATTCTATTCCAGGATGCCTCCTTCCCTTCTCATTCTATTCCAGGATGCCTCCTTCCTCTCTCATTCTATTCCAGGATGCCTCCTTCCTCTCTCATTCTATTCCAGGATGCCTCCTTCCTCTCTCATTCTATTCCAGGATGCCTCCTTCCTCTCTCATTCTATTCCAGGATGCCTCCTTCCCTTCTCATTCTATTCCAGGATGCCTCCTTCCCTTCTCATTCTATTCCAGGATGCCTCCTTCCTCTCTCATTCTATTCCAGGATGCCTCCTTCCTCTCTCATTCTATTCCAGATGCCTCCTTCCTCTCTCAGTCTATTCCAGGATGCCTCCTTCCTCTCTCATTCTATTCCAGGATGCCTCCTTCCCTTCTCATTCTATTCCAGGATGACTCCTTCCCTTCTCATTCTATTCCAGGATGCCTCCTTCCTTTCTCATTCTATTCCAGGATGCCTCCTTCCCCTCTCTTTCTATTCCAGGATGCCTCCTTCCTCTCTCATTCTATTCCAGGATGCCTCCTTCCCTTCTCATTCTATTCCAGGATGCCTCCTTCCCTTCTCATTCTATTCCAGGATGCCTCCTTCCCTTCTCATTCTATTCCAGGATGCCTCCTTCCCTTCTCATTCTATTCCAGGATGCCTCCTTCCCTTCTCATTCTATTCCAGGATGCCTCCTTCCCCTCCCTTTCTATTCCAGGATGCCTCCTTCCCCTCCCTTTCTATTCCAGGATGCCTCCTTCCCTTCTCATTCTATTCCAGGATGCCTCCTTCCCTTCTCATTCTATTCCAGGATGCCTCCTTCCCTTCTCATTCTATTCCAGGATGCCTCCTTCTTCTCTCATTCTATTCTAGGGTATGTCATGCACTTTTATTTTTATTTTCCAGTATTCCTATTTATTCTTTAATGATCCAAGTTTCCTGCTTCTCCTTTTATTTTCTTTGACGCTTCCTTCCCTCCTTTCCCTTCTGTTCCGTTCTACAATGGGCACTTTCTTCGGTAACTCAAGATAACAGTGTCCTCCCCCCCTGTCTCAGGACATAAGAAAAGGGCAGGACAAAAACTTTCCGTCTCAAGGCCAGATCCTTATTTTCTTCCCCCCCCCAGTATCAGGACAAAATATTTACAATTTTTTTTTGTCTCGGCACAATATCTTTTATTTTTGGAAATATAAACACAAATGCAGTATAATGTGATCCTTTATTGACAACGTTTCACCCACACAGTGGGCTTTTTCAAGTCACACACAGATCTGTGTGTGACTTGAAAAAGCCCACTGTGTGGGTGAAACGTTGTCAATAAAGGATCACATTATACTGCATTTGTGTTTATATTTCCACTGTGTCGGTATTTGATACCATTTATTTCCATCTTTTATTTTTCCCCGTCTCAAAGCAATATTCACACTTTTTCGCCCCTCAGGACAAAATCTTTAATTTGCAGCCTTCGTCCCAGGATAAAAGTTTTTATTCTTCCTGTGTCTGACGACAACACGTTCTCCACCTAATAAACCATAACATTATATACTACATTTGTCTTAATTCATCGTGTCAGTATTGTTTACCATTCCTCTCCACAACCCATTTTCTTTTGATGTTAGTTTTTTTTAAGTGGTGCTTAACGTCATTATCTTAGTATGTCTTAATTTTTCCTTATCTCTTTTTCTTTAGTTTTTAATTAACTTAAGTTATACTAAATTTGGTTCGATTAAATTAAATTTATTTTGGATATTAAGACCCTCGTCAGGAATCATTTGTCCTGTTTCCTGACCAAATTTACTTACCCTAATCTCAAGGTTTATTCACTTAGAAGTGTTTTTCAGCGTATATATTCTGAGAGTTTACTTTTATCCTTGTTTTATACATTAAAGTATTTTCGACTCGTGATGAAACAGGTTACTTGAACCATTGGATTGTAAGGCATTTCTGTAGTTTCAGGAGGATTGAACATGGAATGAGGTAGTGATGGAGGCTCAATCCGCAGCTTCAAGAGTAGATATAATAAGACATCAGGAAGGTAGAAATCAGTGAATAGGTCTAGGAGGCGTGGCCAGGAGCTGAATCTTAACCCCTGTAAACATAACTGAGTAAATACACATAAGTAACATATACAACCCCCCACACACACCACTCTCTCACATTCACTTTCATCTCTCTCCTTTCTGACTCTTCCTCCTCTCTCTATCTCTTCTCTCCTCTTTCTGTGATCTCCTGTTCCTTTCCTCTCCTCTCCCCTATCTATCCCCCCTCCCTCTCCCCACAGTGAAAATCTCTCTCTTTCCTCTTCACGCGTCACATATTCTGTTTCACGATGGCTGGAATCCGCGCGTCGTTTCCATAAGCCGACTTCGAATCCGGATTCCCCGAGGGCCGAAACAGCTGGGTTTGTGTAATACCAGCTGCTAGGGAGGCGGGAAGGTAAAGACGGGGAAAGTTTGCCTAGGAGAGTCCTGCTAGGCACGGGGAGAATTTACGGTTAATTGTGTTGAGGCGTTTAAGGCAGAGGAAGACCTCTCAGGTGGGAATTTTCTTTGGAGATGGTGGGGAAATTTCGGGAAGTGGGGAGGAATTTCTGGTAGTGAAGGATTTCCCGTAGTGGGGAAAAAATTTTGATGTTGGGAATTTTTTTGAAATGTTGGGGAAATTTATGGAAAATGAGAAATTTATAAAATTGGAGAGTAAATTTTGAAGTGGTTGGGGAATTTAATGGAAGCAATGGGGAATTCTTTAAGTAATGTGTGAGTTTCTAAAATTGGTGGGGAATTAATAAATAGGGAATTTTCTGTTGAGAGCGGGAAAATTTCTGAAAAATAGTGAGATGTAGAAATCGTCACGAAAATTCAAACATTGATAATATAAATCGCTGATAGTGATAGGATTTTTTTGGATTTGTTTTAGGGATTAGTGACTAATTTTTTGACAGTGAAAAAGTAATTCTAGACATATAAATTTGAGAGTCGGAGAAATTTGCCGTCATGCGGGAATTGTTTCAAGGTGGTGGGGGAATTCCTCAGGTTACGAGTGAATGTTTCAAGGTGGTGGGGGAATTCCTCAGGTTACGATTGAATGTTTCAAGGTGGTGGGGGAATTCCTCAGGTTACGATTGAATGTTTCAAGGTGGTGGGGGAATTCCTCAGGTTACGAGTGAATGTTTCAAGGTGGTGGGGGAATTTCCCAGGGTGGTCAGCGAGTTCCTGAAGGTGATGACTGACCTGCTTAATAGTAGTAGGGGAAATCAGTGAGGGTAGTAGAGAAATTTCTTAGGCTAGTAGGGAATTTTTAAGGGCTGTAAGTAAATTTCTGAATATGAAGGAACTTTTAAGGGTGGCGGGGAATTTCTGAAAGTAGTGGAGGTATTTTTAATGGTGGCGGAGGAATTTCTGAGAGTGGTGGGGATATTTGTGAGGACTGCGGGGAATCTCTAGGGATGAGGGGGCAATTTCGATACTTTTTTTTTTGTTTTGGTGATGGGAAAATTTCCCGAGGTGGCGAGGCATTGGGGGAAATTGATGTGGAAAAGTTTGAGGAATTATGCATTTATTCTTGACGCAATTTGGGGGAAAAGAGGGAGGGGGAGGGAGAGGGAGGGAGAGAGAGAGAGAGAGAGGAGAGAGGGAGAGAGAGAGAGAGGGGAGAGAGAGAGAGAGAGAGGAGAGAGAGAGTAGAGAGAGGGAGAGAGAGAGAGGCAGAGAGAGGGGAGAGAGAGAGAGGAGAAGAGAGAGAGAGAGAGAGAGAGAGAGAGAGAGAGAGAGAGAGAGAGAGAGAGAGAGAGAGAGAGAGAGAGGATAAACTAATGCGTTATATTTGAATTGTAAATGACCTCAGGAAGGTGCGGGGATAAGCGAGTTGCCCTAGCCAAGAATTCCAGTATTCTCCGTTGTATACTTTGTATACATTGTGTGTGTATGTGAGGCTATGGATATATGCATCAATACATACCACTCTATATACAGCATCACATACACAGTCACCTGTGCGTATAATATCCATAACCTTAATACGCCCTCACAAAGCACCACCATCATCACTTATACACATAAAGCTATACATAGTGCTGTGTACTGGTACTGTGTGAGCTATTCTCTCCTGTCACTGTACGTATGAAATGACCTGTATGACAAGTTGTTTACCACTGTATGACTTCATAAAGTCATACAAAGGCAAATTGTATGACAAATGGAACAAGCGTGTATTTCTGCATTTACACTCTTCAAGAGGAATTGTATTTAACGTTCAATGTTGTGTACTGTATATGTTGTCATACTGAATACGCAGTTATACTGCCAGAAAAGTTACTTGGACAAGAGTAATTAATAATTCTTGGGTTATATTATCAAAAACATTGATCGATTTCAAATGAGGATCACCACTTAGAAATATGGGAGAGGATCGCCACTTTGAAATATGGAAGAGGATCACTATTTTGAAAGAAATATGGGAGAGGATCGCCACTTTGAAGGAAATAAAGAAATATGAGAGACAAAACAGTTGGATAAAGAAGAGGCAGAAGAACAAGGCACGAAAGTTACAGTAAAACCTTCCCTTACTTTATTGAGCAATACGCTTTATGCAACGATCTTTCTGTTTTTATTTCGGCTTTAGAGAACTGAAGAGGGAACTCGACTAAGATCGAAATTTACAGACGTCTCGTATCCCTGTTTCCTGTTTCTGCCCAAGTCGTGTGTCGCTTAAATTTTCTTTGAGGAGGGGGGGAGGGGTTAATTTTGAATCATGATATTTGTTTTTTTCAGTTGTGTATTCTTGTCATTTTCCTGTAATTTGGAATTTTATCGTTCTCTTATTTCTTCATTTTATATATTATTTTCGTTATCAGATTCTGGATTTTCATCCTATATATTTTATGGTATAACTTATTCTTTCTCATTTGTGTTTCATTTCTTTGCTTAAGATTCTCCACCTCCCCTTTCTTTATCTCTCTCTCTCTCTCGCTCTCGCTCTCGCTCTCTCACTCTCACTCTCACTCTCTCTCTCTCTCTCTCTCTCTCTCACTCTCTCACCTTCGTCATCAGGGCTCCCGGAGTCTTGGAATCTTGGAATTGGGCCATCATGCGAGGCTCTCAGGAATAGGGAAGGAGAGGGGAAGCTGGAATAACGTAACTTGAGATCACATAAGAAACGTCTAGGGAGAAAAAGGCCTCAGAGGCCGTGTCGCGACAGGGAAAAACGCAAAAGAGCGTCCCCGGACAGGGGAAAAAGGGGGAAATTGTCCTTTAACAGAGAAAGAAATAGAAAGGGTCGTCCATGGACACACAAAAATGTAAAGGGAGTTGATCTTGGACAAGAAAATGGGAAAAGGTCGTCCTAAAGTAGAAAATTAAAAACACGTTCTAGGCATCACGTTCTCGCACCAACAATTATAAACGTTCACAATTAAACGTTACCTAATTTTCCTCGGCTGCCTCATTTCCAAACTTTTCCTCTCGGTGCGCACACAAGAACGGCTCATTAATGAAAGTTTAAAGCCTATCGACTACACAAGACTTACTGAAGCCTCGTGTCACCTGTTCACCACCGGGCGAGATTACTGTAATCCTAAATTAGAGATTTATGTTACTAGTCCTGATTGTAGAGTTTGATTGTAGACCTCTGCAGGTGTGTGATGTAAATGGTATAGAACACAGGTTTTCTCTGTATTGGACTGAAGTAGTCACTGGTTGGTAAAACGTTTCCTTAATAAAGATTTTAATAAGTTGCAAAAGTGTCTCGTTCTTCACCTTTGTAAGTGCGTCACACAGTGGTACCTCTCCTTCTCTCAGCACCAATGGAGATGTGTTACGGGGTCATGTTACTCTTGTTACATCAAGTTCATTTAGTAATCCCATCAATTATATTGTGTTAATGATTTCTATCACCAGATGATGTTCAATATAGAAATGGTTATAGCCATGACCATAATTTTTAAAGGGGTGGACCGATAAGCCAGCGGAAGGCCTCTGTCAGATGACCAAAAGCTCCAGCTTCGGGTCATCATTTGACTAAGACCCGCGTTAGGAAACACTTGTCCTGTTTCCTGACGAACCTAACCTAACCTAACCGAACTTTACCTAACCTAACCTAACCTAACCTAACCTAACCTAACCTAACCTAACCGAACCTAACCTAACCTAACCTAACCTAACCCAATCTAACCTAACCGAACCTAACCGAACCGAACTGAACCTAACCGAACCTAACCTAACCTAACCTAGCCTAACCTAACCTAACCTAATCTAACCTAACCGAACCGAACTGAACCTAACCTAACCTTACCTAACCTAGCCTAACCTAGCCTAACCTAACCTTACCTAACCTAGCCTAACCTAGCCTAACCTAACCTAACCTAACCTAACCTAATGATGTGGTCTAATTAAAGTGTCTTCGGTAACACTCCATTTTTTCTAACATTTTCTCATACTTCTCTGTCATTCTCCTTCAGCGTCCCATCCTCCTTCCTCAGGTTTATCACCTGGTTCTTCATAGTTGTCTTTTTTTTTCTTCTGTGTCTGTGGTTCTGTTTGGCGCTTAATTATTGTCAAACTGACTTTGAGCCTCCTTTCTTATTCTTGTTTATTGGTTTTTCTCCTGCTTGATTCCTGTTTTTTTTTCTTTTTGTGGGTTTTTTTGTGTATTTTTTGTTTTTGTTGTCTTTGGTTCTGCATTTGAAGGGGGAAGGGAGGGGAAAAAGGAGGGGGAAGGGAGGGGGAAGAGGGGGAAGGGAGGGTGTGTCATTTGATGGGTGGTGCCTGTGTAGTTTCCCGTGGGGGTAGGGGGGCAAAAAGGGAAGGGGGAAAGGGGGAGAGGGGGGGAAATGGAAGGGGAGGAAGGGGGGGTAAGGTTGGGGGAAAAGGTGGGGAATGGGGAGAAATGGGCAGTGGGAAAGGGGGGAGAAAAGTGGGGGGAGGGGGGAAGGGGGAAAATTGAGGGAAAATGTGGGGAAAAAGAAAGGGGGGTGACATGTTTTTGTCATTTTGGGTTTACATGTTTTTTGGGGGTGTGACATGGGGTATAGTGGTGGTACATGGGGTTTGGGTACTTTGGTGGTTGACATGTTTTTGGGTATGTGGGGGTGCATGTGTTTGGGGTGTGCAAAAGTTGGTGGTGGTACATGTGGTGAGTACATGTGTGTGGTGAGTACATGTGTTGGTGTGACTGGGGTTTGGTACATGTGGTGGGGTACATGTGTGGGTGTGTAATTTTGTGGGTGTCATGTGTTGGGGTACATGTGGTGTGTAATGTGTGTGGTGTTACATGTATATTTGTGTGTGTTCTTGATATACTTGTGTGTTTAGTACTAGAAAAACGTGATTATTTTAATATAAATGTGAGTAAAAAATATAAAACCCATTATCCTAACATAATCTTCACTATCACCTCACACTTCATTTCAGTTACTCCGTTCGTTCGTTCTTCTCTCTATTTTTTTGTAAATGTCTTCACAAGGTGAAAATCCGCTTGATACAAGTCTTGGCTTGTGGCCACTAAAGAACTCATTTCGGCATCTTGAAGTACGTTTAAAGGCTCAATAGGGCCCCCGTGATAACACAAGGTTTCTCAACATAGCTTTAGTATGTGTTTTGGAAGAGCACTTACCCCTTTCCCAGGACGCGAACTAAAAGAACTTAAAAGCTTTTATTGAGACAAGACCCCTGCGTTAGAGCTTCAAGTCACAGGGAAAGCCTTATAAGTCATGTTTGTTTTGTATGACTTGCTTTACAATATTTTGGTATGTCCAGGGGCAGCCCTTAGCACGTCCTGGTAAACTTTTTCGGAACCCCGAACTGAAGGAGTCTGCTCAGTAACCGGGATTTTCCTACAAAAAAACAACAACTGGAACCCACCGTGTTTAGACTTGAATCTAAATCCAATAGAAAATTCCCTTTCCCTTTTGACACTTTATCTGCAGAACACTCAAAAAGGGATATCTTGCCCTTTAAGGTTTATAGAAAAGCTTACCAAAAAGAACATCCAACTTCTTTTTACGCCTTTTGTCTCCCCCCAAATACGGGTTGTTCAAACGGTTCTTCCTGACGTTTAAACATTTCCCCCTTTGAATTCTTGGAAAAAGATGTGCATATATTTACAGATATTTTCTCGTCACACTTTCCTTTTTACTTTATCTAGGATTGCAGATGCAAGCTTTAACCAACTCCCAAACCCCCGGAGCCAATAAACCCAAAAATTTTTTTTTTTCCCTTTGGGGAGCCCCTACACCCACGAGGGCCCTTGCAGGAGCAATATCCAGGTTGCCATATTGGGCTGTTTTGGGGGCCCGAAAAAAAAAACCACTCGAAATTTTAAAGATCCAGCATCCCCTGTGCATAAATAACAAATTTAAAAAAATGGTTTTACAAACCGACAGGTTTTTTAGGTAAGCACATAAAAAGTTAGCAAAATTGAAACTTTCCCCAAAATTTTGGGCCCAGTTTAAACGAAAAGTTGGCGGAAATTTTGAAAACATGTAAACGTTAAAAAATAAATGTAGAATTTGATTGCTCCCCGGCCCGGAAATTAGTTTAAGTAAAAAATCTTTAAGTGCACAACAATTAAACTTCAAGGGGTTAAGGGTGTTATAAATTTTTTGTATGAAATTATAGGGCCACGAAGTCATTCCCTTCCAAAAACCCTTTCCCTTTAAAAGCTTGAAGGGTTTTTGTAAACCCTTTAGGTAAAAAAATAACTAAAAAAGGTTTTCAAAAGGGGCTGGGAAGCCTTGAAAATTTAAAATTTTTGAAGTTTTGCCCAAAAAGAGGTTTTGAGCGGAGCCGGGAAAGTAAAAATTTTAAAAGGGTGTAATCGCCAAAAACTTTTTCTTGTTTGGGTTGAAAATTTTCCCCTCTGGCCTCCATTTAACTTTAACACCCCTGTCTCCCCCAGATTTAAATTTTGGGCACCCTTTGATTTAAAAATATTTGTTGGAAAAAAAAATTTGGGCCCCGGGGCTGACAACCCAAATTTTCGACTTTTGGGGAAAATTTATTTCTCCCAATTTATTTTTTTTCATCGACGGGAAAAGGCTAGTTCAATTTGGAATAAAATTTAAAGTTGATATTTTTTTTTTCCTTTAAAAAATTAATTGGGGGGAAAATTTTCACAAAAAATTTATGGCCCCCGGAAGATGACACCAGAATTTTGGGGCCTCCAAAAAAATAAAGGGCCCTTGGGAAAAAAGTTAAAATTTCTCGGGAACCCAATTTACCCCTTCCCCCCTTATGCCCCAAAAAAAAATGTTTGGTTTTAGTTAAATTTCTAAAAAAAATACAGATGATTTTTAAAAAGCTTTGCAGCGTAAAAAACCTCAAATAAAAATTTCTTCTTAGGTGCTACTTTCCACCACACATCTCTCCCCCCTAATTTTTCTACCTTTTTTCAAATTTTTTTGGGTTAACCCAAATTTTTTAAAATTAAAGTCCCCCTAATTCAGAATTTGCAAAAGGGGACGTTAATAGCTTATTAAGGAAAAAAACCCCGGGAACTGGTTTCGAGCTGGGGCCCAAAAAGGGGTTTATTTTTTTTTTAAAAAAATTTTTGGGGAATCCCACTTTTTATGTTTTGGCCCCCTTTATTGTAAAACCTTTTGTAATTTCCCGGATAAGGGAAAAGCCAAAACCCCCCTTGTTCAAAGGAAAAAAAGTTTTATACGTTTGGGGTTCCGCTTGGAACATTTTAAAAGTCAATTTTAAATGGTTCAAGTCTGGCCGGAAATTTGTCGTCAAAAGTTCCCTTCTCCTATGTGTGGGATATTTATTATTTTTAAAACGGAAGAGTAGGGGAAACGTTTTTTGCTAGTATAATTGTGGAGGTGTTAAGGTTTCGCAAGATTTTGTTGATGTGCTTCGGGATACGTCTCTACGAAAAGAACCTTCAAGATGCCTCAAATCTGATGAGTGGCCTTTATCCATGGAGCTGAAACTCCCCTTTCCCCTTCGTTGGATCAAACATGATTACCTCCATTCCCCGGCGCTGTAGGCCAATATTCTGCTTGTAGCGGCCCCATGAATTAATTTTAAATTTTTTGATGACTTGCATCCCCATTTAAGGATATTTTAACAGTTTTCGCTCTATGCGG